TTTTTGAAATTGAATTCTTCAAACTTACAACGTTTAATTATTGTATGCAGCGTGGGTTAAAAACAATCATAACTACGGTGTTTATGAAAAGTAAGGAATAATTAATGGCACAAATACAATATTCACAAAATTTCCTTTAAAACGATTGTTATTTCATTATAGTACCTCAATACGTTTGTAAAATACGACTTTTTGAATTTCTATATTTTAAATCTATGTTTAACAATCTCTTCTTTGAGACATACAGCTTCATACAATTGTTCGTCTGATACCAATCTGTGATATCTTATCCAGAATATAAATAAAAATGTATTTTAATAATAATAATATTTTAATGGATGAAGGACTGTAAAAATAACGTTGATTGAATTTGAATGAATTTTATATAGCAATACAATCTTGTTTGTACATGTCGTGTGCACAGCATGCTATAGCCACTTTCCCTCATAGAAAGACTAATAAAAAGAGGAAAATGGTGGTCAGAAAAGTTTTTGTTTTAATTTTTATGTTATCAGAATTGATTATCTCGCTGTGGTGACATGTTAAGTTGTGTGATTGTTTTGTTTTGTGAAATTTATAATTGTAACAGGATTTCTTCCTGATGATGAGGGCTCAGATTCCTCGAAACATGTAGAAAAACAAAAAAATAAATAACATCGATAAGTACAAAGAAAATAATTTAACCTCATATCCATATTAAGTTTTGTTTTAAAAGGAATGCTGGTTTAAGATTGTTGATGTGAACAGTTAATTCCTGTTTTTTTTTTTTTGAAAATTACAAAATATTTCGGAAATGTTATTATTACTTTAAATGGGCCTTCATGTCTTGGAGTTAAAGAGGGTTGAATCCCCCATTAATTTTAACAAAAACAAATTTTGAATTGAATAAATCTTTGTGAATAAATGATTTTTGTTTTGAATGAAAAACTGTTTTTACTGGTTTCATACAAGAGAATGTTTCTCGTAAAGAAGATAGCAAAGGATCAGATTCTAAAGGGTGTTGATTATTAATTCTCCAGGAAGCGTAACTGGTTGACCGTATACTAGTTCGGCAGATAAACAACCTAGGTCTTCCTTAAGAGATAACCTGAAGCCCAGGAGAACCAAGGAAGATCATTGTTCCACCTCGTAGTGTTACCTCTGGCAGTTATGGCTGTTTTTAAAGAACGGTGAAACCTTTCTAAAATTCCGTTGCTTTGGGGATGGAAGGTAGATGTATGAATTTGACGTTTTCCTAGAATAGTGTGAAATTTTGAAAAGAGTTTTGATTCGAATTGTCGTCCCTGATCATGGATGATAGTGAAGAAGAACATTATCTATATTTACAGCCAAACAAAATGTGTTTTTGGAGTTAGAAATTTAAATTTTCTAAGTCATCATGTTTCTACAGAAAGCATTCGTCCTTCACAATCTAAGGGTAATGCCATAACTGAATTTCCAAAACCAACCACACTTAAACAATTACAATTAAAAATATGATATTTTTAATCCTATAACCTCATTCACGGGCAAAGAGTCGTAGTTTTTGCAACAACAATTTTGCAACGATGACGAAGTCTTTGTCAAAAATATCATTTTTCCGGAAAGGGAACATTTACATTGAGTGGATGAGTAAATAGACAAAAATGTCGGTATTGCGCTACCCAAAATCCACATTGGACAAGAAAGTCGCGCACCCAATATCCGCAAAAAACCAATGTGTGGAGCGAAATAGTACGGGATACTGTCCTGGGTCCTTACTTTTTTGAGGAAACTTTAACTGGAGAGAGATGTTCACATTTTTTCAGAACGATATCATATTGTTGACCCAACTCAATTCCAACGGCACTTATTCCAACAAGAACTTTAAAGTAATTTTTCTCGAAAATTTTCTTATACAGGTGTCTCACGTAACTGGTTCGTTAGAACTTTTTTAGGTTCGAGTATTCGTACAGTTTTGAAATTTTGGTAGTATGGGTTGTTCAGTCGGAACATTCGATCTAAAATATTTTCAAGATGGCTGCCACTTCCGGTCTACCGGAAGTAAAACATAACTTCGTTATTTTAAATGGAATGCTATAGTTTTTATTGCACCTTTTAATTGTACGTAAAACGAAAATCGCTAGGTACCAATAACATTTATCAAAGTCAACCTATTTTTTTATGTACAATTAAACGGTGTAATAAAAACTATAGCATTCCATTTCAAATAGCGAAGTTATGGTCTACTTCCGGTAGACCAGAAGTGGCGGCCATCTTGAAAATATTTTAGATCGAAAGTTCCGAATGAATAACCCATGCTACCAAAATTTCAAATCTCTACGAATAGTGAAACCTGAAATAGTTCTAACGAACCAGTTACGTGAGACACCCTGTATAATCAATACTAATATTAACTGCACTGGATTCAGAAAAAAATCGTCTTTCATATTCCGTAAAAAAACAAGGGATTACCATTTAAGCAAAAAATATCGATGACGTTTAAAAAATTTAAATCTTTAGACTCGTTTCAAGGATTTTTCCAAAAACTGTTTATAATGATATAAGTACGAAGGTTTTCACGGCCGATGTTAATTAAACTAAAACTAGAACTAACACTAGACCTAGATCTAGAAACTTTCGGGTTAAACCGTGCGTTGTTTGAGAAAAATGTTTCAGATGCCATGTTGCAACCTTCTTCAGAAACAAGTTCGAGTCTAACTTCGAATTTGTTTCTGAAGAAGGTTGCAATGGATAGAACGGGATGGATGGCAATTTTAGCATTTAAGGAGGCATTAAAAAGCTTTCAGAAGCTGAAACTAATTTCTTTAGGGCAATTAAAAATTAGAATTAGAAAATAACAAAATTAGAAAATTATCCAAGGAAATCGATTAGGATTCGGGATTATGTTTATGTCATTAATTTACTATTTTTTGAAGAATAGGGCTCGATCTGTTGTTGACACTACAACCACGCATTCGATAGTACTTTTCCCTCGATATTTGTGTTCTTCCCCGAGTTAGATAAGGTTATTTATAGGTTAGATAGTGAAATTAATTGTGTTTCTTTTCATTGTGGAAGAAATTACACGAACAGAGAATGAGTGTAGGTAAGTCGGAAAATCTTTTTAACACGTTCATTGCCAATCACGCGATTTTGGATTTTACATTTATATTTATCACCTTCAGTGCATCTCTCGAATGAATATAAAATATTAAAATACTCATCACAAGATCGCAGATGATGGAATAGGCACCGAAACTGGTCCGATCAATTTATAAAAATAAACTATTGAGAACAATAAGGAATTTCATTTCAAACCAGTATCAACTTTTAGCACTATGAATGAAACATCAGTAATTTCGAAAAGCAGAAGATAAATATTCGGTATGGCACTACTATCTAACTGATCATGGTAAAACGGCAAAATGTAAAAAATGTTTTACCATTCTGAAAACAAAGGAAATCAAACTAATAATAAACATTAAAGAGCAACGAAAAGAACGAGCTTGGCTTGCAACTTTAAATGCACCTAGTACTTCAGGCACATCAACGTCCTCAAGCCACCAGTTATGTTTAGCACATGGTTTACATCTGCCAATAATAGATGTGTTATACAAAAAGCTAAAAAAGCAATTATATTACGTTTAACATCAAAAGATAAACAAAATATATTTGAAAATGATGAAGATGACTTACTAATTGCGGAGCCTCAACGGCCTGAAACGAATTAGACACTGAAAGAAATACTTTATTCTGCTCTAAACAAACAACAGCCACTTATCCGGTTAACTAAGGAAGCACTCTTCAATACATTGATCCAAGAAATTGATCATGATGGTAGCATGGGTAAAAATCTTTAATTCGATTTTCAATGTTTGAAAATTATTTCATCAACAAGTATGGAGTCAGAACGGTACTTCTCTTCAGCAAGTTTATTAAATACAAACTTTAGATCTCGTTTAGGAGATAAAACAATAGATAAATTGCTTGTTCTGCGACATTTCTTTAAAAATAGTTTTATGGATGGTAGATTTTTTTATAATGCTTTGTTTTATGGTTAGAATAAACTGTAACGTTAGAAACACCATGAACACTTTTTATTTATAATTACATCTGTAGCCAAAAACCCAGGATTACTCGGGATAGATCCCGAAATCCCTGGATTATAAAAACCCTTCTTGATTACAATCCCTAACAATTAGTAGTAGTTAGTGTTACAATTATTATGTGTTTAAAATTATCTTTATTTTCGTGAATATATCAAATTTTCGCTTCTAATTGGACTAAAAAACAATAGAATGAGGAATGCTAAAAAAATGATGGGAATTCATTGAATTTTCTCATAAAATTTTCTTTTGCCGATATTTTAGGTTAAGAAAAGATAGCTTATTTGGGCTTCATTTTGCTATTTTTTTGCCAAATTTGAATTTTTTAAATTTGAATTGATGAAATTTCTATGCACTCAGTTTCTTTCGAATCTACCAACTTAATTAATATTCTTAAAAAGTTTTTAAGTGTTATTAGAAAGTATACACTTCACGCCTTCAAACAGGACACATAACATCATATGAATTATATTCTCATTAGATGGAAGTAGTTATTAAAAGTAATTTTATTGTATTTTTATCGTGAACCTTAAAATTGAATGTCAATCATTAATAATAATTGGTGACAATCATAGACTTCGAACTTTCCAATATTAGAAATAAATTTATTCCCATTACTTTATAGCATTTCCGGATATATTTTTAAAAATCTTTCCGCCATTTATTTTTTTTGTTATTATCTATTTTAGTTTCCCGGTAACCATTTTTATGTTAAACCCGATAAATCGATGGTAAATTTCCAGTCTGCGCCACCACTCACTTCGAAAATTTAACACTTCCAAACGTTTTAGCCTTGCGTTGTTGTTGTATGTGCCGTTGATACTCGTAGCCATGGCCAAATGGAACCACCGCAAAACTTTGTCGTCGCTATTGACTGATTCACGTAAAACCGTCAATCGATATCCAATCAGCGTGGGGAATCGGTGCGATTTTAACGAGAATCCAGAAACAGTTTCGCTGATAAGCCATCAAAGCGTAGATGGGTGAGCGAACTCGATAATTAAATAATTTTCGCGTACAGTTGTGTTTTTATCTGTGTAGATCAGTGTTTTAGTGAGTGTCGTACGAAATGTGTCGATGGTGTTTATGTTGGTGTGATATTTCAGGGGAAAATTGATTTGATTTAAACTGAAAAAAAAACCAGAGGTTGGTCTAGTTATTAATAAAAATTAAATTCATTATTAAAACGTATCTTAACACGTTATCTTAAAATTGTTGTTATTTAATTTAATTTTGGGAAAAAAGTTGGTAAAGTTAATCTGGTTATGTTTGATTTATTAGATTTGTTTGGAGGCGTTTCTATTCAAGGTTTATTAAACTTTATTCAATTTTTGTTGATTTATTAAATTGTCATTGACATTTTCGATAACTATATTTTATTTGACCTCTTCTTAAATGTTCTCGATATAAATCAAAAAATAACATTGGGATTTCCAAACACAATAAACAAATCTGGAAAACTACGTACAATTTAGAAAACAATTTTCTCTAATTTACTTATAGTTTAAAAAAGTCATAATATTTTTATACGCTTTTCTGCGTCAACAAAATTTTTCCCAATAACTCCTACAAAACATCAATTTTCGAGTAATTTCTTATTCGTTTTTTCATTTTGCTTGGAATTAACCGGCAATTAATATGTTACATATTAATGGTAGCTGTTAACTGAAGTCCAATTAATGTTGCTCAATAAAAATAATCGAGTGTAATTGAATTTGAAACATCAATTTGGTGCAATCGAGGGAAACCCCACGATTGTACTAAAATATGACCCCAAATTTCCGCTTCAATGGCGACATATGTCTTAATAATGCAGCTGGCGTATATAAAAAATTTAAATATACCCGCTGAATATCAATGAATTTAAATAATCGATTCGCCTTCAAACAACGAACCTTCATTTTATAGTCATACCGGAAGATTCGGAACTTTATTTTTCACTTTGTTTGTATTTTAATTTTATGGCATATAAAATTTTGTTTATATAGAACAACCTCTGATTTTATTTCTTTTTCTTTCATGAAAAATTTAATAAAAGACTATACAAAAATGTTGGATTATACGGCGACAAGTAGACTTCGCAGAAAACTGAAAACAAACGCTTCGAAGTTGGGTGGAAAACTTCAAAGGGTCGACGTTATCGGTTCGCTTAGCGACTTAACAAAATTAAATTACGCCAATTTGAAGCAGAAGGTTAAAAAATTACGAAAAGCTGAATCCGATACCGACGAATACGACTCCGATGATTATCGGTTAAACTATCACAAGTAAGAATTACTCATTAAAACACAACGAAATTATTATTTAAGTAATTATTACGGCTTACTCAGAAATTTCACATTTTTCGCCTGGTTACAAATTAAATTTTTATCTCTGAGTCAGTCGTTTCTTTCTTTTCGTAATGAACAAGTTCAATCGAGATTTCAATTACTTACATAGAAAGCGATCTCCTCACTTCACGCCAAGAAATTTTTATGCGGATGAAAATTCGATCCCTTCATCCAGGTACAATTCAGAGGAACATCTTTATAGGAGGTATTCTAGAAATTCCACAGATACGATTTCAGATGAAAGTGGAGTTTTTATGAAGGTATGTTGATATAATTTCAAATTTGTTTTAGTGTGTAAGTAATTAATAAAAGTTAGATAAAAATATGGCATATCCGTTATAATCTAATCTAAAACTCTTTGTGAGCCATAATCTCGTTTAAATCACCGATTTTATTTCGTATAATGTGAAAGTTTAAGTTATACAATAAAAAAATTTAAGATGCATTAATTTTTCTTAATATCGTCATAATTTAAATTAAATATATTAACTCGAATAATTACTTTCATGAATATAAATCACATAATTTGAAATTTTGTAAAGTGAGCAAAGCTAAAATTAATTAATCCTGTTAATCCTGTGATATCAACAAATTTATCTTTAGCTTAAGACATAATAACACGCCGTGAATAACATGAAACTAATTAAGATAATCGAGAAATTTTAGTTTCATTAAAACTCCTAATCCAGATTATAAATAAGCTCTGAACCGATTTCAGACGAAATAAATCTTACAAGATAAAAGAAAAACGTTTTATTTTAAAAAATAAAAAATACGCCATTATGAATTATAGTCTTAAATAAGCTGACTTTAATGTGTTGTTGTTGTGTTTCGATATATGTTAGTATTAAAGAAGACATTAGAGGCTTTCATTTAACTTATATATCTTTGTTATTTGTGGGAAAATTAACTATGTGGCTCGACATTAATGCTCAATAGATCCGCTCTTAAGATGCGAGGGTTCGAGAACGTAAAAGAACAATTTAATTTAGAAATAATTAAATCAAACTTCTCAATTTACTTTAAAATCCTTAGCGAATGATGAGAGTATCAGAGCAAGGTGCAATTTAATTGAATATAGATAAATATGATAAATCGTTGGGAAAATCGGAGAAACAGGAAAATTTTAATTCAGACATGACCTGAAATAGGAAGGTGGGCCGACCCATGTTGTTTAATATAGTCCTGGAAAGTGTAATAAGGAAACATACTCGTAAGAAAGGTAATAGTTATAGATGTCTCCTTCAGGGAACTTGAAAGCGCATGTAACAAAGTAGGCCTGCAAATCAATGAAAAAAAAAACAAGCTCCTAGTGCAGAGCAAGCATGTAATCGGATAGGACCAAACATCACAATAAACGAATACAACTTTGAAGTAGTGCAATAGTCATATGACAACGACGGAGCAAACGAGCTAATTAAAAGTGTAAATGTAGCAAATAAGGCATAGAAGCCACACTACCTATATTAAAATCCAGAGACATTTACAAACGCGCATGAATCACGAATTGTATCAACTATATGAGGAACTACGAGTCTCAAAATATATAAAGCTCAAACTGTTACAATGGCACCATATGTCTAGAGGATGAAAAAGTACCAAAGTAGACACTACAAGGACAGCCAGGAATTAGGACTATTAGGAAACCGTTTGGGAAAAAAACCCAAAAGTTGATATGGGATGAGGTGCAAAGGAGGATGCCAGGCATATGGTAGGAGATGCAAACTGGAAAAGAGCGTCAGAAGACTGAGATGGATTGAAGAGATTCTCTTTATATAACTTCGACAACTGTTAAATACGCAGAGTTATAGTGATAACATTGTAACAATGAGATTTATGGGAACTAAAAAGTCATTTATGACAACATAAAGTTGTTATTAGAAACGTGTTTGTGGCGTCTTTCACGTTGTTATTGGAAATAAAACTAAACCAGAAACTGCCGGGTTATGCCGTGTGTTTATTAAAATATTGTTTGTCGTTTCGGATAACAAAAGCGGTAGCAAGTTGACAATATATACTCTAGTAACTAATTATTAACTAATTAATTATCTAATTATTATTCGTTAATTCTTCATCGAGTCTCATAAGTTTTTCCTTGTTCGGTTTTGCTCCATACCATCTTCTCTATTGATGTTATTCTTATGAAGATGAGTTTCTATGGCTATCCTCTGGTGATAGTAACTGCTTCTGGCAAGTATCTTCGTCTTATCGGGATCTATATTATGGTATCGTCCATTTTACCCTACATAGCCGATACATACATGCTACCTGTACATGCCGACAATCTGTAGCACAGGAGCTGTTAGCAATGTGTCCTGTATTTTGCAGTGTCCCTTGTCTCACCACCATGTCGTCCTTTTTTACGGGTCTTTTCCGTTACACCTGAAACAAATGGAAAATAGATGAAACACACAGGTTGACTACTTATCGTATTTGTTGTCTGTAGCTTCATCTCCCTTTTTCCTTCTGTTGTCCAACTGGACAACAGGGAATTATCTCCGTCGCACAGTATCCTGGATCTTGGAAAAAGAGTGTATAGAAGAATTATGCATATCTTCTGTTGTGGGTGGTGGTGTGATGATGCTTGTAGGTGCGTATTTGTGTGTGTTTTCTTCCGGTACACTCCGTATTAGTCCCGGTTACTGACACATCGAGGAATGGTAGCTGCTTGCTCTTTTCTTCCACCATGTTGTACGTTATCATTGAATATTAACTGTTTAAATAAGATAAAGGCTTAAGATACTCAAGCCTTTGTTTGCTGTATTGCCAGATCACAAAAGTATTATCCACGTTCGTTGTCGTAACTTTGGTTTCAAAGATCTGGGTTTTAAAGCCACTTCTTCAAATAACTCCATACAAAAACTGGCGATGACAGATGATAACGTTGATCTCATAATTCCGCTCGCTCGTATTGCTCACAAAACTCTCTCTTCTAGTAGCTCTAGTATGTAGTTTTTGTCGTAGACCTTCTACGGCATCTTCTTCCGGCATTTTGGTGAAAAGTGATTCCACGTTGAAACTGACTAATATATGCTATAGATCCCAGAAAATGGCGACAAAACTTTGAAGAGGTGTTTCGCTAGCTGATATGTGAGTTAATTGCGCTTACGGTAGGTCGTAAGAGAACGTATTCCTTTCTATCCATTACCGCGGTGGCATTACCTTTGTCTGCAGGTAGGATGACTATGTCAGTTCTCTTTCTTATACTTCGTAAAACTTTTCTTTCAGCATCTGTCAAGTTAGACTTTGATGGCTTTTCTGCTGGCATCTTACGAATGCCATGTTGAAACTCGGTTCTTTTGAAAGTGGAATGCTGGATTGGTTTATAACAAATTATAACCAGTGATTCCTCTCGAAAACCATCGTTCTTCTTTTTCTGTATTCGACGTTTTAATCACTCGGAATTTTTGATATGTGGTTTTCAGCTCTTCTGGAACTCACGTTCCTCCTTCTCCCAGGTTATCCTACCTGCTTTGCCCCAGTCTTGTCTGGATATGAAACTCGATTTTGTAAGATGAAGTCGGAATAGTTTTTTACTCAACAGTTGTAGATTCCTTGTGTATTCTTTCAAGATTTTACGAGCTGCAGCTGAATTGATATGGTGCTTCACTTTACGAAATGTTTATTTTACATCATTGTTGAGATGCGATTTTTTATTAACATGTTATTGAATATAACCTCTATAATTACGAAAAATCCTTGGTTGAATTCATAACAACAAAGCTACGAAGTTTACGAAAACTAATAGATTATTTAAGGAACACTAAAACTAGATTGTATTGAGCAGACTCTAAGATAACTAGTTGTATTAATAACATTATAATAATGAGATTCATAAGAATTAAAAAATCATTTATGACACAATAAAACTAGTTTAAATTTCTTTTAATATATTTTTTATCTCATTATAATATCTCAGATCATTGTTGAGATACTATTATTTGTTATTACCATGCTTTTGAATGCAATTTCCGTAATTACGAAAAATGTATGTATAGCTGAATTCAGTACTACAAAGCGATAAGGATTATGAATGCTAAAGAATTATTTATGACACAATAAATCCTAATTAAAATCTCTTTAATATGGAAATAAAACTGTAGCTAGAAACTTCGAGATTATGTGACTGTTAAAACACTATTTGACACTGTTCTTCAGAAAGAAGTTCCACAGTTCTACGTTTTATATTTATTATATATTTACATTTTTGATTTAATAACATAAACTCTTCTTGTTTTTAGTGGTCTTTGTTCTAAAGTCGGTCATTTATATCGTTTATTCTCTTCAGATTTATCTTAATGTTACATTTATTCTTAAATCCTCCATCACATCAAGGTCTAAGAATGTGCAAATTCTTTAATTTATATTCTTCCATTATTCAGCTGAGTGCATAAGCTTTTCACGTTTTTTATCATTTCCATTTTTTAATTACATGGTTTGTTATCTCGTTATCATCAGGTTCTTCCGGCTTCTATTCCATTATTTCCATACATTCCACATACCTTTTATAATTCTAGAATATTTCCATAAACTATTTGCAAATGTAATGACAGTTCAAAATAACACATAATACTAAACCACCTTTAACAGGTGCAGGCTATTCGTTTCTGATATTAACTAAAAATAAAACAGGTACAGACAACATTTTATGTATAGCATCGGTAAGTTCAAAATCTTGGAATAAATGCAACTTTCTCTGGAAATTGGAAAAAAGATCAGATCATAGACAAGGCATATATCTTAGCAAGATTTTGAGGTTGCCTTAAATTACCATAATGTCAGTATTCGATAAACTCTAAAAATAAGTAGTAACGACCAGCATACTAGTAGCTTATACAATTTCATCTGTCATATCGTAGCATCAGCGCGAGGATGCTCATGTGCGTCAGCGAAATGAGTATAATTTGCAGCTTTATTTAGACATTATTTTGATGGTATGGCGTTAATTGGATATGAATCAACCAAGTACTATGCAAGGATGATGAGATGGCAAAAATTATAAAGAACGCGACCGCGAATTATTAAGAACACTTAAAACTAATTGGTACGTGAAATAGTAAGCAATCAACCAGCAATTACTTCTAGGAACCTAGTTGTTATTTAAAATTTTGTTGTATCCTCTCACTTAATCGTCAAAATTAATCGATTACCATAACAAATTATGCAATAAATGCAAATTACAATTAAGTTATTGTAATCTAAACTAGTAAAAGTAATTACAATGCCTTGGTTGCAGGTGACTTCAACTAAACTCAGAACA